AGCAAGGCAACTCTGTGCATCTGTTGCTTACATAAGTTCATGTTCGTTAGAAAACAATTGGAACACATAGAAATATGGTAAAACACAAGTCCACAGGGTTGGAGACTTATGGACTGGGAACTATGGAATGCCTAGCAGTTACTGAAGAAATTTTACACAAAAATTGTGGTTTTGTGTTTTGAAACTCAAACAATATGCTCACCAATTCAATCTATTTCCATTGTCCTCTATTTAATGATGCAGATTTTTTTTTTGTTTTGACTCAAGTATGCTTTTACCACAATGTATTTTGTATTCATGACACCATCATGACATCATAAAATAATATTTTACAAAAGATAACTGCTTTTAATGGATTTATAACAAAGGCTGGTGTTTAACTGATATTGTTATGTGTGACAAAGGAGACAGAAGCTAACATTGTAAGCAGGATGGCTGCAACATAGCCTATTTTTTCTAGTCTAAATACTTACGTTATCTGCAAATAGAATTATAAGTTTCATCTCAAGTATTAATAATGCCAAAATATCAGGAAGTTGGGAAGGATGACCCTGATACAAAAGGACAAATGCTACTTCTAAAAAGAAGTTATATAATTTATAAAGTTGAATCAATATTTGTGTTTTTATAGTCACTTGTTCAATAAATGGTCTTGTTTTTGAAGTCTTCTTCAATAAATGATCTTTGTTTTTGAAAACTATGCAAAGTAGGAGCCAAGCAGACATTGTATGAGAATTGTCATATAAAGATGGACTACTGAACTGAGTCATAATCTTCTGATTCTGAATGAGGTGAAGGCAGCTGTGTTAGTCTGTTGTATGCACACAAAAGCTAGGATCTTAAAGCATGTCAGAGATTTTGTAATTTTTACATCAACTTTTGTAGACTCCAATTTACTTTATCAGATACCTAGTTGTTATGTAACTCTCAGTAGTTGCTAGGGTGGGAGATAAGTAAAAAAATGTAAGGATAATTGCTTTGAAGATTGAAAATAAAGACATAAAATGTTTGGGGTATTAACACAAAGGACTGTCCTTATCAGACTTTTCCAGCAAAAATAAGAGTTCTGCATTATTTCAAATGTATTACTTGTGAGCAAGTGTTGTTATTATTAGTTACGAAGTCATGTCCAACCCATTGCGACCCCATGGACAATGTTCCTCCAGGCCTTCCTGTCCTCTACCATCTTCTGGAGTCCATTTAAGCTCACGCCTACTGCTTCAGTGACTCCATCCAGCCACCTCATTCTCTGTCGTCCCCTTCTTCTATTGCCTTCAATCTTTCCCAGCATTAGGCTCTTCTCCAGTGAGTCCTTCCTTCTCATTAGGTGGCCAAAGTACTTGAGTTTCAACTTCAGGATCTGACCTTTTAAAGAGCTGTCAGAGTTGATCTCCTTAGGACTGACTGGTTTGATCGCCTTGCAGTCCAGGGAACTTGCAGGACTCTTCTCCAACACCATACTTCAAAGGCCTCAATTCTTTTGCGCTCAGCCTTTCTTATGGTCCAACTTTCACAGCCATACATTGCAACTGGGAAAACCAAGGCCTTGACTATACGTACTTTTGTTGGCAGGGTGATGTCTCTGCTTTTTAGTATGCTGTCTAGATTTGCCATAGCTTTCCTCCCCAGGAGCAAGCGTCTTTTAATTTTTTGGCTGCAGTCCCCATGTGTGGTGATATTGAAGCCCAGGAAGATAAAATCTGTCACTACCTCCATTTCTTCCCCATCTATTTGCCAGGAATTGAGATTTTGGTTTTCTTAATGTTGAGTTTCAAGCCAACTTTTGCACTCTCCTTCTTCACCTGCATCAAGAGGCTCTTTAGTTCCTTTTCACTTTCTGCCATTAGAGTAGTATCATCTGCATATCTTAGGTTGTTGATATTTCTCCTGGCAATCTTAATTCCAACTTTTGATTCATCTAGCCCTGCCTTTCTCATGATGTGCTCTGCATATAAGTTAAATAGGCAGGGCTACAGAATACAGCCTTGCCGGACTCCTTTCCCAATTTTGAACCAATCAGTGGTTCTGTGTCCAGTTCTCACTGTTGCTTCTTGACTCGCATATAGGTTTCTCAAGAAGCAAATAAGATCGTCTGGTACTCCCATCTCTTTAAGAACTTGCCACAATTTGTTGTGATCCACACAATCAAAGGCTTTAGCATAGTCAATGAAGCAGAAGTAGATGTTTTTCTGGAACTCCCTAGCTTTCTCCATGATCCAGTGTATGTTGGCAATTTGATCTCTAGTTCCTCTGCCTCTTCGAAATCCTGCCTGTACTTCTGGAAGTTCTCAATCCACATACTGGAGTCTAGCTTGTAGGATTTTAAGCATAACTTTACTTGCATGTAAAATGAGTGCAATGGTGCGATACTTTGAACATTCTTCGGCATTGCCTTTCTTTGGAATTGGAATGTAAACTGACCTTTTCCAGTCCTTGCCACAGGAGCAAGTATATTTAGAGTTTATTTTGGAAGGGAGACCAGGGTTGGGGGGGGGAATAATAAAATAATAGTAAACAACACATAAAAATAAACTGATGAAACAATTATTACACTGGATTATTTTAAAATATGCGGTAATAATACAAGTATCTATTTAATATATCAATGTTACATTTCTAATTGAATGAAGAAATGTTTGTTCTTACATTCGGATCTGTATTTTTGTCTTTTTAAGAAAAACATTGAGAAATGAACAGCACTATGAGTTCTATTGAACTGTGACATTCATAGTGAATTTAGACCAGTGGATGTTCTAAAAGGGGAGTAGGCAACATATCCCCACCCACACCGCTTCAACTTGTAAAGCACGAAGCTCAATTGTGATGCAATAATGTTACACAATCATCTTGTTTTTAATCTGTGACATTAGCTGCCTCAGATTTTCAGATGCTAAATTTTCCAAGAAAGATAAAAATTCAATGGTTAAAAATGACCTACTGTATGTGTATACATAAAGATTGGATTTCATAATTATTTCAGATTTATAACAATTTTAAATTATAATATCCATTGAGAGAAGATTTGGAAGACCAGACAGTCCTATAGCTTTGCAATTAAAGCAGTGCTTTTCAATCTTGACAACTTTAAGATGTGTGGACTTCAATTCCCAGAACTCCCCAGACAATATGCTGGCTGGGAAATTCTGTGAAGTTCACTAGCTTAGAAAATAGTGGCACAGATTTCTTAAACTGTTTAGGAATTTTTGTATGTATTTTTCTGATGTTATTCATGGTATGTTTTTCTGTTTTCTCCCAACAAAGACATAATACAAATTAATCTTCTCTTATATTAGAGATATTTATCCTGGAAGTATACTGCCATGATGTCGATGAAGATTCTCAGTCATCCAGATAGCATTGTCTGGAGACTGAGTCATGGAAAGTAGACCTATTTTCTTTTTTGGTTTGAAATGTTTTGCTGCTTATCATGACTGAAGAAGCTACTTGGATAAGTAGCAAAAAAATTTCAAAACAAAAAAACAAACAAAAAACAAGTCCACTTGCCATGACTCAACTTCTCAACATACAGCCATGATGACTAGTAATATTTAATAGAAACAGAACTATGAGAAGCTTCATTTAACATTTCTGCATCAATTTGCCAGAGGATCTTATGTCCATGTTAAATAAACCAAACCAAACCAAACCGAATGATAGGGAACAAGCTTTGATGTTATTAGCAGTCAGTTGTCATCCCTTTTTCTTTGGGATCAGCTGAGAGAGAAAAAAATCCTACTAAAAACTTTGAGACAAATATCTGCCATGTTCTGATTTTCAGTACTAACACTAAGTGATCACCAACATCAGATGCTGCTAAAACTTTACGTGGATAAACAGGATATATTTGAAGGCAATACATTTCTTTTATCAAATGTCTCTTATTCTCTAAGCTTGTTAAAAGAATGAAAATGCAAAGCAAAAGCTTTCAATTAACTTTGTCCTTTGGTGATACTGTGCAACTATGATTACTGAATATTTAAAATTAGAGTGAATTAATTGCTAATTAATAAGATATTTCCCCTCTCCTCCATGTGATATAACAAAGCTATATTTTCATTGTGGGCCATGGGAATGGAAGTGATCCCAAAGGAGAATTCCTTGTAAAACTATTTAAATAGCCTAAACGATTGTCAGGAAAAAATGTTTTTGTTTTTTTTTAAAAAGCCTGAATTGAAACAAATGAATTATTTTGAAGATTATGAAAGCAATCAATTAAGTATAGAATTCATCTGAACATTAAGATGCAAAACAAAAAAAAGTTTGAGGCTAAATGCAAACATCCAAGAACTATAGAGGATATTAAATGATATGCTACAGATTTGAAGAGAAGAAATATTTTCTATGAAGTAACTATTTTTTTATTTCAAGTCTCAACTCAGTTGATGTTTATTTACTGTACTTTGAATTTTATCCTTTCCTATGTTGTGGAGCCACTCCAAAGATTCATTTTTACATTGTTCATAAGAAGTATTTTAAGTTTAAAGTTAAAATAATTGTATTTTACTTCATAATACCTGTCTTACCTGAATGCTTACCTGAATCAAATATACTGAGTTACTAGAGTTAAATCCGAAGGATGTATGCATACCAGTGGAGCAAAAAAGTACAAAATACACAATTGTTTGTGGAAGCTATTCAAATTTCAATAGACTGAGTTTTATTCTTTTTTCACTTCTACTTTCAAAGCTTTATTTATTTTTTAAAAATATTGAACCATAAAATATATTTAATGTATCCGAAATGCAAATAAAAACATTAGCAAAATGCTTTTTGAGATGGTTATATTTTTTTGTTAAAAAAATGAAGATATTTTAACCTGTCTGAAGCAAATCTTACACAAACCAGCAAGGTGCCTCCTATTAATAATCAGATAAAAAAATATGAATACTTGAGAATAACTCCCATCAAACCCAACAGAAAATCTGAACACATAAATACGCATAATGTCAGTCTGGGATTTAGCTAAGAAGTATGATTCAACAGTTTAGATTTCATAGGTATGTTTTAAAAATGTAACTTTTATTTACTATCAAAAGCACAAAATTGTAACATACAAATTACTGATGTAAGACATTTTTACTAAATATTTATCATGTCTATGTATTAAAAATATAAATATCTCTACTCTAAAGCACATACCAATAATTTGGTATATGTTCTGAATTACAAATCTGTAGAATAAAAAGAAATGTTTTCAAATGTAAAAAGGGGTTAACTAATCAGATCCTGGCAGTTGAGATCTTCTCTACAAGTTGCCCATAACCAAGGGTCCAACTGTATTTTGGACAGACTATAATACAGCAAAAGTCAACCACTTTGTTTATAAAGTGAGATTTAAAATCTATCTCTCCCCCATCCTCCAATCATTAGCATATTTCAAAATAGTCAACTTTGGCTTATTATAAATTAAAACCCACAAACAAAAAAAGGTAACAATTTCAGTATTCCTAGGCAGAAATAGAAATATTAGGTTATTGTTTAAAAAGAAACTTTTTTTCTGAACAGTAAGCACAATTTTTCCTGCTCCTAATATTCGTTTACTAGCTGTTCACCATCATTTATAGTTTTGCCATCATTGACACAGATGTAATATTTTTGCATCTCTGAATCTTAGGCTTGCAAATATAATATCCTGACAAGGCAAACTTTGTGAATTGCCATTTGATGTGATTAGAATGAGAGAAGCTTCTATCACCTCTGTTCTAGAAAAAATGCAGTACATATAATAATTTAAAATGGAAATATGGCTGATTTGCTGTACACCCGAAATATCTTACTCGTGTAATTTACATACTACCAAAATACAGAAAATGCTCATCATTTACAGAATATATTTAAATGCATACTGTTTTCTTGCTTATTTTGCATTCTTACATTGTATTACAGCTTCAGTAAATTGAATAGTATACAGTTGCATGTTGAAAACTTCAAAGATTTGTTTGGATGTCAACTTTTTTTTAAAATCAAACTTTTGACATACAATCCAATATTAAATTCTTGTTTTTCACACAGAGGGGTTTTACTAAAACATTTACAAGTCAACATCCAAAATTAGGCCTTTCTTAATTCTGCTTATTCCACAATAGCAGAGTTACTGTAACATCACTTTAATGGGATATAAAAGTGCTTAACTTTAGCTTGGTTATTCCCCAAATATAACTAGCACAACTTTCCTTAATTTCACACTTCCAACTCCAATATTCCCAAGTTACCATACCTCACAAATCTAAGTACCTGGTTCAGGGAAACTCTATTCAGTGCTTTATTGTAGATAAACCAATGCAAGGAAAAGACCTTGACCTGGTATCTGGTCAACCAGCTATTTTAAATGTATTTCTGGAAAAGAAGGAGACTCCAAGTGAAACCATGGCTTTTCAATATATAATTTGTTACTTCTATATACTGTATAAAACATCTTTTATGTATACCTGAAAGAAATCCAATTTTGGGATATCTTTTCTAGAGCTATGAATATAATATAAAATGGGTAGCCTAAAAAGACATTATTTGCTTTTGGGAAAATTCTGATACGACAGAATTTATTTTGCCTTTAGACATTCTTTAAGAGATAAGAGATCTGAAGCTGAACGAAAGAGTAAATGAGTAAGCTGAGCACAGGATACATGTTTTCTTTGTATGAGAGTGCTTTTTCTTCCCACTTCCACCCCAATCACATTTAGGTAGCTTAAAATCAACCCAACAAAAATCTGATGGAATGTAACCTCCCATCCCATCCTAAAGCTAAAATTATACGAACATGCAAAAATGATACAATCCTTATTTTTTCTGCAACCTTTGTACCTAATAAAAATCCATATAAATTGCTGAATTCTATAATTATAAAGTTAGGATTATCTATATTAAAGAACACTAGTCAGTTTTCATTTCAAGTTACGCATTTGTCCAGTAGTGGGTATTATAAAGTGCTCATCTTGCAATGATATGAGATGGACATACATACAGAAGTGCCGTGCTGTGTACTGCTCTGGGACAAGGATATTATCACAAGATGCATATTATTATAGTTGTGTAAAGCAACCACAAGTAAATGAGCCCTTTTCTTTTGACTGGAATGGAGGAAATCATTAAGGTAAATAGGGCAGGATCAGGTGCAGCCAGGAGGTTAAGAGAACTGTTAGTGGTCAATGCTGAAGTAATCCAGAACAGTTATCCTCAAAAGAAAGGTGAAACAATGAACATTTCGGTAAGTTTGGTCCTTTCATTTCAGCTTATGTGGACAATTCTAGAAGTTCTGAAATAACAAGGTGCTGCTGCTTTAAGAGTAGACCACATTCAGTTACTTTTTGGGTTTCTCCAGGATGTTCAGGAATTTCCCTCTAGTCATCTCTCTTGCTGAAATCACAAAGAAAGAAAGACAAAACAGTTTAACAATTTTAGCATCAGAAGTGGATAATTTCCAATAATTTTCTCCTATAAAATTAATTTAAATGATTAAAAACAGGATAAAATATTTCACATAAAAGAAAATATCACATTTTAGCTCTTCCAAAGTCTAGAAATATCAGCCAAGCATTGAAAATATCAAAACTCAGCTGTAATGTCCATAAACTGTCTCATTTTAATCTTATAACCACTCACTTTATTTTCATAGTAGCTATTCTCAAGAGCTCCCTTTCAATTTTTCTATTATATTTATCTACAGACAGTATAATCTAGAATGCCATTGCTCCTTCTTAGGCCATCTCTTTCTGCAAGCATAATCCCACAACCCCCCTCTGTCTCCCTCTATTTCAAGATTACTTGTCCCTGTATACTTATGACCTTAAACATAAATGAGACAGCATTTCCATTCTCCCATAGTAGTTCCTAGATGTTATATTATAATGGAGTTTACAATTCTCTCAAAGTAGTACATCTATGTATGGTGTGTTAAAGTAGAGTTTATAGTTTATTTCAGCCTCACATTGTACTGTCATTCCCAGTAAGGCAAAGTGTATATGCTTGTCTGTAATCATTAATGTCCATTAAAAGCATTACAGAGTTTTACTCAGCTACAGTACTTTCCTATAAAAAAAAATCTGATTTGTGAATTCTAAGATTTTATTGCTGGCCTATTAAAAATATTCCTTTGATGTGAGAGAAAACACTTAAGCTCTTTTTCTTCTTTACCATCTCCACATTCAGATAGTGATTGGATATGTTTTATATTAGGATTACTACTATGCCAAAAATCTGGGGAATTCAATTTATGGAGGTCCCTGGCAAAAAGGGTCTGACCAGCCATTGTTAAGGGTGCTTGTTAAGTTTTATGGCTATTTAAATGAGTTCCCAGAAAAAAAAATATGAAATAGATGTTTTAGTCAATTCACTTGGATACTTAAATATAGGATGATGGCATTCATCTCTTGCTTGAGGACTTTTCATGAGTAGCTATAGAAGTCTTTCATGTTACGTTCAATGACAATAAACCTTTTTTAATGACTTCAAGAACCTTATTAATTGGTAAATAAAAACATCCAGGACTGGTTTTATATGTAACTTCTAGTTGATAGGATGCAAACAACAATATGTTGGCTTGCAAGATATATTTTTAGATTGGAAATCTTATTTTGCATGTGGCTTGCGAAGCTGTCCTATCAGGCCTCAAGCTATTACTTTTTTATCCTACTTGGAAGCTCTCTTCCAAGACATTTACTTGATAGTTATGGCAAGTAGGTTAATGGTCTATAAAGTTTGTCCATAAGAATGGAATGGTAGTATTCATTTATTATGCTTCAAATTACATGATTTACAATGGAAGCAATGCAATCTGTCATATGAATTCTGCAGCAAATTAAATCATCACAGAAATGAATGGCACCTTCTCTCCCTTCCTTTACTCTTGCTCATTTCTGATTTTTTGGGAAACTAATTCAGGCAGCTGTTTCCAGGTTCCAGCTTCCTTATAAATTTTCAATAATATTTCTTTCGTATTCTTTCTCCTTGATCCCCTCCCTGGTGAACTGCTTTCTTTCACATCTCCCAGCTATCTCTTTTCCTCCCCTCTGCATGAAGGCCAAATCTTTTTAAATAGAAGGAGAGGAGCTGGATAATATAATCCTGGTTTTGCTAGGGTAAAATTTCCTCCTTTCCAGAGGCTAGTATTCTAACAACACTTAAATTTTTTTCTCTCTGGGGGCAAAAGGAAGATCTGTGGGTTAGCAATGGTGTATATTATGGAGTCTCCTGCCTGCATGCTCAGATCCTTGGAATATAAGTATTGGTAATCTAACTGAATGTGGGGAGGGAAAGATGTACCACACCTTGCTTAAGTGAATGGGAATTTATCTATTCATTGCAAGCCAAATGTCAAGGTATGGTTTATTGCAAGGATAGGCAACATAAACCCATGACATCAATGTTCTTGTGAATATCTCCCTTGCTGCCTGCCCTACTCCCTTCAACATATATAAATTAATATGAAGCTGACATGCTGCAAGTGTTAACATATCTTTATTTTCAAGAATGACTTTAGGCTCCACACAGGCCCCAATGGCATTTTCAGAAAATGAAAGAATTTCATTTAAAGAGAGGTTTAGAGAGCTGATGAGTACAAGGATCATGCATGTAATCCTAGATCACAGATTTGTTGCATTATGTCCAATCCAAACCTGTGTTATATCATCTTGAGTATGCATTCTTCTTAAAATCTAAAGAACATAAATATCTTGGAGAATCAGATTGATGGCCAAAGACAACACCATTATTAAATGTGTCTGGTTTGCTGTAAAGCTTGATAAGCATACATTTTGGCTAATGAAAAAAAATGGAACTTAAAAAGCAAATTCAGTTACTAAAAAATATTCTGTCACAGGAGATAGGAATTTAATGTATTCATACATAAATTAAGCATCACTATATTTCTCTTCTTTCTCACACACATATGGATAGGAATCTTTAAAAAAATGGCTTTGATCCAGTTTCAAAACTCAAATCCAGATGAGCTAGAAGAATTTTGATTGGAGGATTAAGAATTAAACTGTCTTATAAATATCTGTGACATATATGATTTTGATTATTTTTATAGAATTATAGAAGAATCCATATTTAAGTCTACTTAAAGTTTAAGAGATTCTTATTCATTTTGTGGGAATCAACTATCAGAAAATGTTCAGAATTACCAGCAGTAGATTCTGACTGTATTGTTCAGTCATATCACAGAAAGCATAAAGTTGAGATATCAGTGAAAATCTGGTGCCTCTGAATTCTATGCAAATGAGTACGGTGCAGTTTTATTTATCATAATTATAAAGTCCCCTGGACTGCAAGGCGATCAAACCGATCAGTCCTAGAGGAGATCAACCCTGACTGCTCTTTAGAAGGCCAGATCCTGAAGTTGAAACTCAAGTACTTTGGCCACCTAATGAGAAGGAAGGACTCACTGGAAAAGAGCCTTATGCTGGGAAAGATTGAGGGCAATAGAAGAATGGGACGACAGAGAATGAGATGGCTGGATGGAGTCACTGAAGCAGTAGGCGTGAACTTAAATGGACTCCAGAAGATGGTAGAGGACAGGAAGGCCTGGAGGAACGTTGTCCATGGGGTTGCGATGGGTCGGACACAACTTCGCAACTAACAAAAATAAATAATCTATAGGTACACAATAAGATAACTATTGATTACAATCAATTGTAAGTCTCTAAATTAGAAGGTCTATGTTTAACCTCTATATAGTCAAATAAATAGTTAAAAACTTATTTCTTTACACAACTTACAATGGGCCATAAGAAGAGTAATTGTTTTAGTATTTTTAAAAAATAAGTCATCCAGTTCCAAATGTAATGCTGGTGGGAGTCTATTCCAAAGAATTGGAACCAGATGAAGGAAAGGTCATAATCATGACATGATTATTTTCATACAGGATAGAACCGAATGCTTATAAGCAGTAGAACCTTATTTAATAATTGGTCAAGCAGGCACATACATAAGCTGGTCTGGTTCCAAGTCTTATAAATATTTAGGACATTATTTCTCAACACTATAAATTTGTACTGGTATCTTTCTCACATACCCAACCAGTACCTGTGCATTAGAATAACTCTTCAAAACATGAACAGAATGTGACTAAATTTGTTATGATGGGAGAAGCTGGCAATTGAAACAATTAGTTTAAAACTGGGGTAAATCTGCTGAGCATTGTAGAGAAAAACATTCTAGAAAAATTCCCACAACATATCCCTTTGGGACAGGAAGCAGCTCAGAATATTACTATTTGTTCCATTCTAAGTTTCCTTCCATCCTTGTCACACAATCCCAAAAAACCCCACAAATTTATGTGGTGTGCTCTATGCTTTATGGTACACACATGCTCACAAATGCACAGAGTCACACAAACCCAACTCAAGAAGAAAGCAGAAACAGACATAGAGACATAATATGCTACTTTATAACACAGATAAAAATACAGACATCTCCCATGACTATTGTTAATAAAAGGCTTGGAAAATATTTAGCCAGGTTAATATTTAGTTAGGTTTTCCTAACTTATTCCCTAGTAGGGCTTATGAGGATTTCTTAGAAATAAAGATAATTGCCAATGCTTCCTTTCTTCCCCGAACCACTGTCATACCTCCCTTTTTAAAATTTTTATTCATAGGGATTGATTCCATCCATCCATCCATCCATCATCATCATCAACAACAACAATAGTAATAGTAATGGCAATAGTAATAATAGTAATTGGAAGGGACCTTGGAGGTCTTCTAGTCAACTCCCTGCTCAGGCAGAAAACCCTATACCATTTCAGTCAAATGGTTGTCCAGTCTCTTCTTAAAAACTTCTAGTGTTGGAACATTCACAATATTCACAAATTCTGTGATGACATATTTTTTCCTTGTTAAAAGTTGTAAGACTAGGACCTGACAGATCTAGAATCATAACTCAAGTTCAATTGACAGGCCTATTGTTGAAATGAGATGAAGGTAGCTCAAATGTGGCCATATGAATGTCTTTTCATGCTCTGATTCCAAGCTGCTAAAGCTTTAGACTGCTGCAGGGTGTGGTTAAAACACAAGACCAAAATAGACAGGGGAAGAAAGAAAAGATGGGAAGTAGGCCACAATCACTCTGTGCCCAGAATCAGGAAACTTCAAACCATTATTGGCAGGGCCTGGGTTTGGGCCTGGATTTGGACTTGGCCCCCCCGGCCTAGAGGACCCGGTTGGAAGACCCGCGAATTACATCTTGCAGCCTGGCTGGTTTCTCCGTTTGGCCTTATGTTTGAAAGACCTAAGGGGATCAAACACCATCCCCTCCTCTATGCCACGGACTCCCTTTTGGACTATGTACACGAAGACGG